CTGATATTCACGGTTTTATAGCTTTTTTGACAGGTCATTAGAGGGTATCCTTCCTTGTGTCATCCGCGACTAATTTTCTCACTTTTTTTTTCGACTTATGCTGATGCACTACATATGGCATGGGATTTTTGAGTTTTCAGTGATTTTTCTAGCATCTCTTCTCTCATCATATTACTCGTAGTTTGTGCGTTAGTTCTCGACTACGTCAAAGTTTAGAACCACTTTTTAACCATAGAGGAATGAGTTGTCAGTGCGAAACTGGACTGGCCTTTTGAAGGTTCCATTCTTGATTCAACACTCTCTTTTTTTTCATAATCCTTATTTTTTTCTGGGAATGGTTTCCTCATTGGTTGTTAGAATTTGTAGAAAATTATTTTTATTGTTTTTTTTTCAAAATTTATTTGATCTCGTATTTCTTTCCGCACACAAAAAGTCGAATTTGGTAGGGGATTTTTTCCAGAATTTTCTTACCCGAAAGTTACGGGTCGTTCTTGTTGTAGAATGATACTGAAAGACCTAGAAGCCGTGGATAAACCAGTTAAGAAGGATCCGGAGGAAAGTACAACTGTGTCATCGCCCGGTGTTGTTAGGATTCCTGCTCAGCAAAGTAATTGTTTTGGCCTACTGTTTTAATCATTTTATGCTGATGCTTTTCTCAAATCTCGCTTCTTTCAACAACGAATTTTGAACACTTTATGTGTTTATAGAGCTGCTTTTATGCTTCATTGTGGCTTTATTTTTTAGATCCAGTACCTGCCTCTCCTCATATGTCCGACCAACGCTCAATTCCTTCAAGACTTGAGCAGTCCCCATATGTTTCTCCTTCTGGTAAGTATTTTCCGGGCTTCTTTCACCTTATCCTTTTTGGAACTAGTTGTCGCTGTTCACTCAGGTGTGCATAGTTTACATACTGCAAATGGTGATCTTACGACACTCAACACTATGAGTGGAATGCACACAGTTGCCGGTGCGAATATGATTGGTTCATATAATCCTACAGCTGTCAGTTTGGCAGCTAGTCTCGCTGCAGCAGCGACAGCTACCTCACGGGTGCTTACTACTACGAAGACTGTGAGTTATTTATTTTCCAAAATGTTTTGTTAAATTCATTAATCAAATAATAGTTCCTGCTCATGTTTTGTCATCTTTAAAGGAATTAGGGGCACCTTTATGCTCGGGGTCTGTAGGTGGTATTTTGCCGATAAATTCCGATGTACTCGGAGTAAAAGCGAGCGTTGCGGAGGGACAGCAGTTTGTTTCAGGGAATCAGCCCGTCACTTCAGGTGAGCATTTAATAACACCATTATATTCCACTGGGTGGCACTGGCAGGGATAGCTTATTGGTCTCTGTAGATGGATGATACTTCTCGCTGTCTCAAAAATGATTGAGTTTTGGGCGGGTTAATGTATCTTTCAAAAGAAATTCGCTGCAGATTGGCAGTCGAACATGATTTCATCAGGTTACAATTCCTCACCTTCTCCGATCGGTATGGCTACAGGGAGTCGTGCTCGAAACGAGACCGATGACAGTTCCCATAAGCGGCAAGTTCGACTGCTTAAGAATAGGTAGTTTTTCATTAATCCTGAAGCAAACCTATTTTCGCCCTCTACAAAAAGGTACTGTTTTGTCAAGTTTGTCTCTATGCACAGGTTCTAATTTTACATTGTTTCGAAGGAGGAGTTTTTTTCAGATATTATTTATGTGTTTTGCTTATTTTACAGGGAGGCAGCAAAAGAATGCCGAAGGAAAAAGAAGGAGTATGTGAAATGCCTGGAAAATAGGGTTTCAGTGCTTGAGACTCAAAATAAAGCACTTATTGAGGAACTTAAAACGCTTAAGGAACTGTATTGCAGGAAAGAAAAAACTGAGTTGTGAGTTTTCTTGTGATATCTTTTACTGAAGTGAGGATCCTTGTTAATTAGCTGAAATAAATGGTATTACTGTGTTGAATGAAAAGCGCTTATCTTATGATGGCAGTTTTCTTTCTAATGTTCCACTTAATGTTTTTTAAGACTGGTCATTGTTATTTGAAGTGTTTTTTTTTACTTTATTTTATTTTTGATACATTTTCTGAAGGTTTTATTTGTAATGAGGTCAGACGCTGTTTGATCTCTATTCTATTGTTAGTACTCTTGTTGTGCTTCTAAAGGCACTTTTATTCCTAGTAGTGTTCAGTGAGATGATTAGTTAAAAAGCTAAGTTTTTCGCTGTTTACAGCTTCAAAAGTTCTTCGAGTATGAATTCGTTTCAGTCAATGAAATAAATTTTACGACTTAGATGTTCTAGAACTATATTTTTTCATATGTAGTTCAATGGTTTTCGAAAGTCTTATAGGTTTGTAGTAGACGTAGCTCTAAGTAGATACAGTTAAGATTTCTTCAGAAGCTTTGTACTTTTAATACCTCCCTCACATAAAGTTATTTTCTGAAAAAGATTATTAACTTTAATTATCAGGATGCTTTTATACTCATCGAATTAGCATTGTATTGCTTTAAAAGGCCCGAATTGGCTTCTTAGTTTAACTAATGCCACAATTTCTGAATTGCTCTTTGTTCACGTGTTCGGTGATTTTCTGTGTTTATTCAAAGCTTCACAAATGTTTTTTATAGCTTTTGATAAGTTATGTGTATTTGTTTCATGTTCAAATTTATCTCTTATGGGATAATTTTTTGAGTTTATGCACCATGTTTTCAGTAACAGAAGTGCACCTGTTGCTTGAAAAACTTTTTATAGAAAATGGTAATATTTTCAGTCAATGAATAAATTTTTTGTATGTGTTATGAATAAGTCCGAGTAGTCTTTGTTTTAGCTTGTTATTCAGGAATTAGTACGTCACTGAACTACTGCATTAGCGAAGGGAAGTGGAAGTTCGCAATTGGTTTTGGGGTTGAAATTGCTTCGTTTTTGGTTCGGTGCATTTCTCAAATAAGTCGCTCGGTTTTTTTGAGCTGAAATGGCTGGAATTGATAACGTTTGATTCTTTTAAAGGAATAGGATGAAAACGTCGTTCGTAAGAGGTGTTTTGAAGCAATACAGTGGACGAAGTGTTGGGTGTCTTTGTAGCATTTGAAGGTTACCGTACGAAATTCTGTTAACATTAAGTTCTTGCGTTATCGGCATCTGATAAGTAGTCACCGAATGAACTGGTAATTTTACAGCTAAATGTCTTTGAATCAACTTTAGAAATCAACTTTTTATAGTTTGTGTGGAGGGCAAATTAGAAATCTTTTCATTATTCCGTGATGTATACGTCTTGTTAAAAGCACTGAAACGCTATTGCGATATACTATTGGTAGTGGTGGACCGTTAGGAACAATAGCTGGTCATTTAATTGGCAGTGATTAATTGTGTTACTGTAGATTATTTAACTTTTCAAAATTTTCTTGAAGTGAATTTGTTTGTTCAAAGAACATACTTGAAAAACACTGGTCTTAGGATCGAGCATCGATAAGGAACTGGGAGATCTGAATTGTGGTTGTTCATATTAATTGGGATGAATTGCTTGATTCATGGTGACCATCATATAATGAGCATTTGATTAATGACTTTTTAACCTTGCATCGACTGAAATCGATTTCAAATAAAATTTTCCACCTGCGGAATAATTGCAGTTGTGTACCTAAATTTAAGGTTGTGTTAAAGACTGCACTGGTCGTGGTCTGGAAAAAAAAAA